CACTTTCTCCCCTGAGCATGGTGCAAACAAGACAATGAGCTACAGATGCCTGTTGCCCTGGTTTCTGACTTTCTCCAGTAAGACAAGGATGCGTCCTACAGCTCATTGCATAGTCCTGTCCCCTGCAGTGTGTTTAGTGACCTGCTGGGATTTGGGTTATTGAGAATGTGATTATCACACAATGTGACTGACATTAAACCCATTTTGGACAAGGTAAAAAAAACCACACCTTGCATTGGCCAGGAATGGAACCCAGGTCAACTGCTTGGAAGGCACCTATGCTCACTACTATACCACCAATGCAGCCGGCAAAATTATTTTCTCCTGGGTCTCACGTGTACTAGGAAAAGGGTTGGATGCTGCAGGTATATATAGCACTGGCCACCTGTCGGGCCTTAGGCCTGTTGATAAATGAGCAGAAATCAACATTACTTCCGGGTGGAACTGGAAGCATTTCAGACAATGCAACCATGGTGTTCCTGGTCTTCAATCTCTTACTTAGCAGCCTAAATTTGCCTTCCAGGACCTCTCTCCTATCCCTCCCTATATCATTCATACCTACATGTACCATGACAACTGGCTCCTCCCCAGCACTTTCTTTCATGGGATTTTTCAATGGCCCTTGTTTGCTGTTGGCCCTGTCATCTCTGTGTGAAAGGCTGGATCCCGCACTGCTCTCCAATGCTCCGCTAACTGTCATTAACACATCCCGAATGGCAGTGCCGTTAATCGTGAAGCTCCTAACTCAACAGGATTCACAGTTGCCTGACGTGCTGTCTGCCATGGATAGGAGCAACGTTAGATTAATTTTGGCATTCCTGGAAGAGCTGCATGTGGTGGACCATCGCTTTGGGGCTCGTGAAACAAGCACTGAGTGGTGGGATCGTATCATCATGCAGGTCTGGGATGACGAGCAGTGGCTACAGAATTTTTGGAGGAGGAAAGCCACCTTCCCGGAACTGCGTGCGGAGCTCGCCCCAGCACTGAGGCGCAAGGACACCCAAATGAGATCTGCCCTCTCGGTGGAGAAGCACATGGTGATCGCAGTGTGGAAGCTCGTGACTCCAGACGTCTGCCGGTCGGTCGCGAATCAGTTTGGAGTTGGGAAGTGAGCTGCCGGGGTTCGCGGGCTCAGCAGCATTGCTAGGGCGACGTCAGAACCGGACCCTCCCCGGCCGCCCCGCGCTAGTAGTTGCTAAGGGCTGCGCATGCGCGGCGCCCGCCGAGAGCCGGCGGGAGACTCCATTTCCCAGAAGGCCCCGCGGCCGGAGAAGCAGGGGGGGGCACAGGCTGGCGGCCGGCAGCGCGGCCGGGCTACACCGGCAGCCATGGGGGGAGGGTGGGCACAGCCAGAGGAGCGGGGGGGGGGCGCGGTTGGAGGAGCAGGGGGAGCGCAGCATGGCGGCCGGCAGCCGCGGCCAGAGGTGTGAGGGGCTGGGCACGGGGGTGGCACTGGACGGCTGGAGGAGCCATGGGGGGGGAGGAGCGGGGCGGTCGGAGGAGGAGCCAAGGGGGGCGTGGCTAGAGGAGCCAAGGGGGGGGTGCCTTGTTTATGTTTGCTCCCACTCCTCTTAGAAGCTGGCTACGACACTGCCAGGGCGCAGCGCCCAGGGCAGGGGGAGGGTCTGGGGCTCCCCTGAGTGGCCCAGACGCCCCGGCAACTCCAGCTTCTGCCCAGGGGGCGGGGCCTCGGTAAAGGGGGAGGAGCGGGGCCGGGCCTTGGGGGAAGACAATGAGAAGGGGGCGTGGCCTCGGTAAAAGGGGAGGAGCAGGGGCGGGGCCCCATGACGGGAAGGGGGGCGGTTGCTCCCGGGGTTCGCGGGCTCAGCAGCGTTGCTAGGGAGACGGTCAGAACCGGACCCTCCCCGGCCGCCCCGCGCCAGTAGTCGCTAAAGGCTGCGCATGCGCGGCGCCGGCCCAGAGCCGGCGGGAGACTCCATTTCCCAGCAGGCCCCGCGCGCCGCCGAGCGGCAGCTTCCGGGCAGGCGCAGCTCGCGCTGAGGAGAGGGGGCGTTTCCCCGCCCCAGCCCTGCGCGCGCGGCAGAGCCGGGCCCGGGGACCGACAGCGGGTGAGTGCGGGGAGTCCTCCCCCCTCCCC